TTACGTCACAATACGATGAATTCTGATTTGTTTTCGATTTTGTTCTTCTTGTTCGCAATTGGCATTCGCGTTTGCAGCGTGTCATGCTTAAATCACGCTGCTAACGAACAGAAAGGAATTTGGTGAAGTTTATTGTGTTAGAAGACTTATGAGGTTTGTAATAATGACCATCAGATGCAAGATATGTTGTTCGGTGCCTCAGTGTGATCAATATATAAAAGTACGAGTTTATCAATACACAGCTTCTCCGCAGTTGCAAAATTATGCATTGTGGAGAACATTTCAAAAATTGGGAAACCTATTTCCAATTATATGTCTGTGTGTATATAGTAAGCACTACTCAGAAACCGATTAAGAAGGTAATTTCATATCAAGAAAATATTGTTATGTTCAATCTATTTTTAATGCATTTTTTCATTCAAGGGAAATGGAATCCTAATGCAAAAGTTTATTTTGACAAAAGGCTTTTCAGAAAAGTACCTCGAAAATGGTTATTTTAAAGCGATTTAATGTGCGCGTTGAAAATGTTTTGTTGTGTCCATGAAAAGGCTTTAAAAAGAACTAGGGAGAAGGTAGTTTTGTGACAAATCAAGGACATCTCGATAATTGCCGCCTGCGGCGGACATTGGCTGTTCTAATATAATAATAGTTCTATTCATGTGTGAACAGCACATCGCAGTGGAGGTTCAATGTCTCGAAATCTCGTACTTTTAACATTTCTGAGATGTTTTTGTGCTCGCTGGGTACCTATATACCTATACATGTAATTTGATTTGTTCTTACTTCTTGGTACCTACACATTAGAGTTATGGAACACGACCTTGCTTTAATGTATTTCCAACAATAATCTTGAAACTCTGGGGGATATGCTGGATACTAAGAGCGATCCAAGTTCTCTCAAGTCCTTCATATCTTTATTTGTTTTAGACGAAGGAACACACACGAATGATTTAATATAAACATAATATGTTTCTCTGTTTATGCTGAGCGAGGGCTACTAAACTACACAGCGAACATTATAATTAGTTATATTACCTAAACAAGGAACATATAATATGTAGTCGGAGCACGCGAATTCCTATACCTTCCATGAATTCAGAGCAAATCCGAAACTCGAATGGAAATTGATAATGAAATCCAGCGGCGTCCTGTGGCCCTGTGGCAATCTTGAAATCCTTCCTCGTTCCCCAAAATTGAGACATGAAATAACTTATGATGCCACAAGGTACGGATTATATTGATGGTTTATTAAAATATTTATCAACTGTATTACATGAAGAATGTATCTTGCCTGTCATATATTCCGAATATAATGTGAAAATTTGCGACGAACGCGGTCAGACCAATCAGAATTGAAAGATAGCTTATATGTTTTCAATGAGATGTTTATAAGTCAAGATAAGCACATGTTGTCTCTGGCTTGTGATTGGTCAGATTATGTGATGACTGAATTTTAGTCATCAGTATGATACCAAATGATTGGCTAGAATTAAGATGATTAAGCATTGATATGGGTTGAAACAAAACGAAAAGTCACATGTTGACATGTGAAAAAAATAACCATTTTTCTTTTTCGTGTATTAGGTTTAGGATAGGATTCCAACAAAGAACCAATTATATATAACATCTTATATTTCTATTGAAAAAAATATATGTACACCGCTATACATATTTCATAATCCGATAGAACTCACCCAAACTAGGTGTCCTTCATATAAAGTCATATGGGAAAAACTTTTATTAATGACTTATTTTGGAATTCCAGGTGGACGTTAAGTTATGCTTCAAAAAATATGAAAAATGGCCTACTCAATCGGGGTCACGTGACTTTCGCTACGCCTCATGTCAAAAGTGACATTTTTTCAAATTAATCGCTGAAAGTAGGCTTATTTGTTCGAATATCGAAAAAGTTTACTTGAAAAAGTTGTTTCTATTCCGATTTTACACATTATTCTCAAATTTGATCTTTCTATTGCAACTTTTAGATTTTGAATTTTTTTTAAATTTTTCGAAATTTCTGTAATATTTGAAGAATTGTAAATTCCACGAAACTACTTCATACCAGTAGCTTTTTCATGCTACTTACTTTCAATTACTTATTATCACTGATTACGGACAGAAATATGATTTACTTCAGAAAATGATAATACCCGCTTACAAATTCTGTTATGTTTGATGCAAAGTTGATATATCGTCAAGCATTTAGAAACGAAATTCATTTAAACTGATCTTTTCAGTACTGAAAAAAAAATTTCAATGAATTTCGTTTCTAAATGTTTGACTCAAACGTAACAGAATTTTGACAAACATAACATAATTTTGAAGCGGAGATTATCATTTTCTGAAGAAAATCATATTTTTGTCGATAATTATTGATAATTAGTAATTGAAATTTAGTAGCATGATGAAACTACTGGTATGAAGTAGTACTATCGAATTTACATTTTTTTTAATATTACAGAAATTTCGAAAATTTTCAAAAATTATCGAAATCTAAAAAATGTAATAGAAAGATAAAATCCGAGTCACATATTATGTAAAATTTAAATAGAAACAACTTTTTCAAGTAAACTTTTTCGATATTCGAACAAATAAGCCTACTTTCAGTGATTAATTTGAAAAAATGTCACTTGATATGTAGGGATAGTCACGTGACCCTGATTGAGTAGGCCATTTTTTATCTTTTTTTGAAGCAAAACTTAACGTCCAACTCGAATTTCAAAATAAGTCATTAATAAAAGTTTTTCCCATATGAGGCCGACTTTATGAATGACACTGTATATATACTATGGAATAAAATAAATTATAAATAACTATATCATAATCAAAACTGAAAATTTTCGAACCATTTTGAATTCTATCAATATCCACACAATATTTATTTTCATCATTTTATTGTTGAATGTTATTCTCTCCATTGTTGTTACCTCTAGCGACTTCAATTTCATATTTCAATTGTCTAGAAGCCGAAATTATTTTCATTCGCTGGGACAAAGCCAATGATCTATTAAATATGGATTCGGAAATGGAAATACAGAAATTGTGATCCTCAATAGTCTCGCAGGTTCCAGAAAACACTTTAGATCATTCTGAATCATTCTTGTGCATTATCGATCTATCTAGAAAATTTGTTAGAATATTCTAGAACAGTATAAAACATTCTGTGAAGTCATAAAGAAATGCACTTAGGAAGTAAAAGATAATTACAAATCACTTTATAAACAAATTTCATCTTGTTCCCCACTCAGCACTCTCAATGGATGGCAATAGAAACAAACAAGCTATCGAGAGGAAATCGTTATTTCGATTAAAAAATAATAAGGCCCCAGGTACTAAAACAATTTTTTTTTAAAGTGAAGAAGTCCGATAAAATCTTTCCGTAGTTTTCCCTTTACACGATATCACTTTCACCACTTTTTATTGGGCTCATAGCAACCCTACAACTATATAAGTAGATGCTCCATTATTTATTTTCTCACGAAATGAAATCAATTGATCGAATTTCTATTTCATTTCACCAATTTATAGCAATTGAAAAAGATTCAAAACGATTATATAACCTCAAAATTGAATTCGAAGTTTTTATTATTTTTACTCAGTAAATGTTAATACTGATCAGTTTTATTAAAAAAAAAGAATGCAAGACATAATAATTGTGTATTTGTAGAAAAATTAGTTATTTTGAATGTCAATATCTGTGATTGTTTGTTGATGTTGTTATATAATAAATCATTCTTGAAGTTATTATTCTTTATAAGAATTTCATTATCATCAAATTTCATATTCAGTATATTGTTTAGGTATTCATGCTTCATTAAATACAAATATTGAAGTTCATTTACCAACTTCAAGTGCTGATTTTGAAATATAAATGGACGGCTTTTGAGTTCGTCCCAAAAAACATTATAACGTCCGACGATCGTAGCACTAGACATATCCATATTCGGGCGGTTGGTGATTCAGTCATTTCCTTTCAACTGGCAACACTGTATTTGTTGATATATTGACGTCACTATCAACCCAGCGTGAAAGCCCTCTATTTCATTTACAACCATCATATTTCGATCAAAATTAATAAATCTACGTTTCGTTCTGAACATACTTCAATTATTACATGAGTGAAGGCGGGAAGTAGATCCCATACAGCACATGAGATCCATTGGACGTCCATTTTAGGTTCATTTCAATTCCAAACGTCCATGGACATTGAATGGACATCCAATGTACGTACAAACATGGATTATCATTGGATGCTTCAAATTGTATGTACAGTGGGCGTCCACTCCATGTCCAACCACGCATGTACGTAAAATGTACATTCATTGTACTCATAAAGATGGATGTACAATGTATGTTTCAAAATTACCGTCCGTTGGACATCCATTTTATGTCAACTCAAGGACTAAAACTCTCGTGGACGTTTGATCAACATCCATTGTACGTACAGAGACGGACGTACATTGGATGATTCAAATTAAACTGACATTGGATGTCCATTTAACGGCCATTCAGCGTTCAAGCGTTAATGGATGAAGAATGAACATCATATTTATTTGTATATAAATAATTGTTCAAAGTAAATGTCTGAATGAAATCATTTTAAATCTGGAGGTTTATGGACGTTGAATGAACGTACATTGTACGTTCAGAGATGGACGTGAGACTATTGATTTTTCAGCCACCTCGAGGGGAGGCAGAAGATCAAATCGGTCGGTAGAGTAGCGGTAACGTCTGGCGTGATTCTGATGCCATTTTCAGTTGGTAGATGACCGTGAACATGAAGTGACTTCATATATCATCTAATATAGTTATAATCTCATGCTTTATCATGCTACAGGTTGTTATTCATTTTTGATGGGCGGTTTGATAGAAAAGGTAGGTACCTTAGTATATAGCAATGTAAATAATGCTTCATTCACCAGTCAGAGTTAAGCTGAACAGGATTTTTGGTATAGACAATCGATTTCTACCTATATAGCAACATATAATATTTCTCTTTTACTACAGGAACAAGAATTCGAAATGGACTGAAGAGAAGACATGAATCAACAATATATTTATATATATGCAATCGACACCAAATATATATTTCAATAGAAGAAGCTATATTTGATACCTACTGAGTTTTCATCATCTGATTCCCAAAGATGAGCATCCATTCTACACCCACATGTAAACATCCAATGTACGTCCAAAGTGGTGTCCTCAAGACATCCAATGGACTTTCATTGGACGTTTAACGTCCAATTTGGTACGTCCAATGGATTCTCAGACATGTACATCCATTGTGAGTCCAAATATGAACATCCACATGAAGACATCCATAGTACGTCCAAAGTGGTGTCATCAGGACATCCAGTGGACGTCCATAGGATGTTGAACGTCCACTCGAGTACTTCCATTGGACGTCCTAACGATAAAAATTTTTTTTACATGTGCTGTGTGGGGAGAGGGAGGGAAGTAGAGGTGCGTAATGTGACACTTCCCAACCTTCAATGACGTTAGTAATGACAACATCAGATATATGTTGGATATATGGTTGTAAATAAACAAAAAATTAGGTCGGTCCCCGCTGTTTCTCAGTATGTGCTTGTAAATTCCAAACAATAGGTTCAAAGAGTCATTGATGCATAATATCAACTGTAAGCAACGCATGGACTCAACTGAATGTAGTATCGAAAAAATGAATGCACTTTGGAAATAGGTCATTACAAATCACTCTATTAACAAATTATCTCGGTCCCCGCTGGTTCTCTCGATAGATAGCAAGAGAAACAAGAACTGCTTTCAGTCATATGTAAGTTTATTCTTCTCTCTAGGTAATAAAACATATCTATCTGTCTTATCAAACAGTCCAGTCGCCAAGTACTTTTAGCGACGAAAAATTCAGAAGTTAGTGAAATTTTCGGAAATTTTAGTATGTTCTATCCAAGTTTTCGACCTCGACGAGGTTGTAAGAAATCCGATAATCTTCCCGGGGTTTCCCCCTTTGCACAATCTCATTTCCATCTCTCATTCCTTTCAATTGTTGACCGCGTTGGTGCCCAGAGCCTTCATGAGCTCGTAGCAGTCCTGCAGCTTCTTCTTGTCGCCGATCTTCTCCAAAGTCCTGGCAGCCTCGACCAGCATGCCGGCTCGTTCCCCTGGCGAGGAAAGAAGCGCCGCAGGCAAGTGCTTGCAGGCCAGGTAGAGGGCGGCGGCGTGTTGTCTTTCACCGCTCTGCTCCTGCTGGTTCTTGTCTCCTGAGAGATGAAAAAAACAGCATAATCTCCATCTGATGCATCTCAATCATTGATTCATAATATTAATTGTAATGAACGCAGGGACTCAACTAAATGTATTATTACAAGGAAAAATGCACTTAGGAAGTAGAAGGTCATTTTTATGAAAATGCTTCTTCTGCACTTGAGTTACATTCTGAATTATTGCTAATAAAATTAAAAAATTTCATACTTCCCAAAAAACACTTGTATCTTCTCTTAAAAAAACAGATATTGACTTGACTAACTTAAAAACTAATGTGTTAACCAGGGATTATACTTCCATCCAAGACATAATCAGTCCGATTCACTAAGAGCGTGGTTATTTTAACAACTGAAATCCGAGTGGTTAATATGCAGGTCAGTGGTTATTTGAACCACTTACAGATTTCATGATCCTCTAAGGCATAGATGAATAATAAATTAACAAACTTGTCATGTTTTACTCCACTTTTTATAGTGGCAGAGATCCACCAGCTTTTTCTGGTGATTTGTGAGGTGAAGGTGAAGGTTTTTGATAAAAAAGTGGCACTATTTCAAGGAAATTTTATTCATCTGTTAATGCTAGATATTGCAAGGAACCTAATTATTTGTGAAAACAAAAAAATTACCGATTTCACTAGGAGGATAGCATCAAACAATAGAATTTTTAGGGATCCAACAAATCCATCCTTGAATAAATCTATCACATGCCAAAAGTATTGGTTTTAGAGGATTTGATACCATTAATAGAACCACAGTTATAAGACGTTGATGGGCTACTTTTATCCTACATGTAAAAATCTTTACATTTACTTGCACGAGGATCCTATCAGGAGGACTGATTCTAATGTAGCAATGTCTCAACCAAGTGTTGTACCAGGTGAACAACCAAGAACGGCTGTCGGCCATATCTCAGCAACTAATAAAGATACAAGTTTGAGATAGAATAAATCTGATGGTACGCATATCATTACGTGATGTAATAGAGAAACTAAATCCATCTAAATCTCAACAGACCAACGAAAACCGCATTATGATAGCTTTTCGCCAACGGAAGATATTATAACTATCAATGTTGGAACAATGATAGATGATAGATATGACAGCCGTTCTTTGTTGTTCACCCTGTACTGCTTGTAGAGTAGATGAATTGTTAGGTTACATTGACAGAAATATAGCAATAATCAATGAAATGGTAGATGAATGACTAACTTCACAGCTTTATTTATACCACTAAGTGGAAATGTAAAAAACTAACCATATTGATAAATGTTGTTTTTCTGCTACCGACACAAAAGTCGTCCATTTCAATACCAAAATTAGCTCTTGACTTGACGTTTCTATTACTGACACAAATATATGTATGTTGCTAGGCAACACTTTTAGTTGAACTTTAGCTCCTACGAACTATATCGAAGACTGGAACCTTTGGCACGATAATACACTACACTGTTTCACAACTAACCAAACCGATTAAAACTTAATCTTCTCCTGAAGATGCTAACATAGTTAGTGAAACACGTGTCGAGGTGTAAAAAATCGGTTTGGTTAGTGGTAAAACAATGTGTAATGTCCTAGAAACTGAAAAGGATGTACTAGAGGTCATCAAGATAAAAAACAATATCGCTATGGTTGGTTGTTTGGGTTGGATTTGGCATTTCATAGCTATGCTGGAGATATAAATACACCATATTATAGCTGAGTATTTTTGATTTGATCAGGGTAGCCTTCAAGATTCACATACTTGCTTGATATGTATTCCATTCATTATTCTCGGGATGGAAAAATCGTTTTTGAATAATTACGGTCAGCAATACTTTCTTGCCTGACAAAACGATATTGTTTAACTTCATTTGATTACCGAGCTAAACACAGTGGAGTATGGAGAGAAATAAATAATCGTTATTATTATTGTTGATATGCTGACTAAATTGACATTTTTCACGTCTTTTCCTTATACCTGGCACTGGCGCGGTATTTGCTGTCAGGGCTGACACCTGCTCCATACACAAATGTGGTTGTATTTATATTGAAACTACAATTCGAACATCCTTGAAAATTGAATAAACCTGATATGTTAATGCAGGTAGAATATTCTCACCACACGGATTATTTGTTGCATTGCATACATATGGCAGGGCATTGGTGCTTACTTCACATATTTATTTTAGTTAATTCTTTCGGTTGCAGAAGAAATAGCATGTTTCATTTGGATCAAAAGTGACTTTCGCTAATTTTGCTTGCAAAAATCGCTTGTCAAACAAAGTGCCACTTTTGAGCCAAATAAAACAATCTACTATTGTATAGAATACCAAATATGAATAGTGGAAAATATGGGTTGGTTAAAAAAGGTCTTAATAACAATGTTACCAATTTAGCCACCCTTCTTAGAGAATCGGACCGACTGTATCTGAGTTGAGCCACTAATTTTTGCCACTTGTTTTTCTCTGTATAATAAAAAAGCCATCAACTGTTCGTGGAAACAGAAAATCAGGCTGTGAATCTACGACTTTGTCGAAATTTCATCAGAATTGAACAAGAATCGAAAGAGTTACTGGGCGAACAATTTGGCAAAATTTCTTTCTAGCCGTTTTTCTGTCGGTGAGCCATTCAAATGGTTCAAATGATCTATTCGTTTTCTCACCTTTCCCGCAAATTATAGAAGATTTCCCTTGCCTCTGCCTCAAAGACCTATCTAAAAACTGCTGTGTCCTACCGGGGGCAGCTCCCGCCATCAGTCTAGCCGTAGCCTCGTACAAAAACACCCTGGGTAAAGCGATCTAGAAAAAAAATCGTACAAATCACAGAACCCTCGGAATTGGTCGATGACTTACAGGCACGTGTTCTGCGAGAGTCCTCAAAGACGCCAGATCGGCTTGAAAAGAGGTCAAAACGCAATTGGACACAGGGCTTCTGAGGCCATTGTCAACGCTGTCTTCCCATAGGGCTGTTCTTGTCTCCAACAGCCAGTCGCAGACCAATAATTGGGACAGCTGGAAAAAACAGAATTGTGAAATAATGGAATTTGAATCAACGTCACACTCGTCTTCACTTTTGTTATCATTGTTCAATCCGTAATATTCGAAAATTTTAGTAGCCCCTGGCAAGCCCACTTCAATATTCATGTTGTTCCATGCTAGTTTATCAAAATTTTTATTACAAAAAAACCCAATATATATAATATATATATAATATTCAGTTATAGTCCAATAAATAAAGGGAAAAAGTTAACATTAATTACGCACTATTTTGATCATCCGGTTGGAAGTAGCTTTTGGTACCTCATTAAACATGAGACAAAGTTTGACTGGAAAACGCGTGCGATGGCGGAGAAAATGGCCCCAAAAGACCAGAAAAATAGGTTTTCAGCCAATATCTCCTAAAATATGGCAGTTAGAGATTTTCGGTTCAGATAAAAATTGAAGTTCAGTTAATTTTCTACAAAAATGGTCCTTATCATTTTTCTCGAAAATTTGCCCGGTTTGGAGACAAACGGCACGAAGCGCACCTCGAATAATGAGCTTCTGTGTTGTATGTCGGAGAGCACAGTCCGTGTATTTACACATCGGCGGGGGGACAAATTATTCAATAACTTTGTTAAAAATGCATATTTTCTCATGATTCAAAGTTCATGTGAAAGAGGAATTCTGCTGCTATCATACCCTGTGAATTGAGTCACGCTTGACTCTTTTGGCCATATCGGAACATGGGTCAAACTTTCTGCTCCCGGTCAATTTTGACCTCGCCAGGAATTTGTTCCTATCAAAAGTGAAAGTCACAAAAACATTTACTTCTAGTTTGTCACTATTCCAATAATACCAAAAAATATATACTCACCTAATCCGAGCTGAACTGAAAACGTGGAACATTTTGTCCTTTAGCTTGCACTGGAGAAACACTGCACTTCGAAAAACATGCAATGCAACCACAATGCACACTAACCGACAAAAGTCAAAAAACTCTAAAACCCAATAAACCTTGAAAGCATTAAAAAGGAATATCCTCAGATAGATTATAAACATGAAAAAATGGATATATATGAAATAAGTGCACATATTCAGCACATTAATATGATACAGTCTAAGAAATATTCCCATGATATCAGATTTTTTCTGATTCTTCTAATTAGCGAGAAATTTTACAAAATACGAGAAAAAATTCAAGTACGTTACTTAAAAACGATTTGAATAATTGAACTCCGCGTGATTGTGCCAACCGCATGGAAATTTGAACAGTGGTGACCTCAGATTTGCTACAGTGTAGAACTTTTGGTGAAAAAAAGGCCTAACCTCAAATTTCATTTTGATCTCTAAATTATTTTTATTAGTTCCATTCGATAGTACACATTGAGCTTTCTCAGTGTTTGAAATATTTACACTTATTACAATGCCACCCTATATATAAAGAAAGAGAATTCGCATTATAATTATTTGCTATGGAGAAATTTAATTGTTCAAGGGTATGAATTGCATTCTTGGATTTGATATTTTCAACTTCCTGAAAACAACAATTCTTCAGTTTATATAACGGGACGAAATTCGACAAATCTTTATGTTTGTATGAATTTCTAATAGGTTCTATAAAACGAAAATTGAAAATGCCCTAATCAACCGATATTTCACGAGCAACTCTTTCCGTACTCACCGAAACCAAGTTATCCTTCTTCTTGCAACTAGTCAAGGTCAAACTATCAGCCAACAAAAGACTAGCATAATCGCACTTCAACAACACCTTCTTCGGCGCAATGTTCGCCTCGGGCCTCAAATAATTCTTGCGTGCCACGAAAGCGGCTACCACAGCCTTCGGCAGCGGATCGTTGAGAGAGGCGAGCCGCTCGGGGATGCGTTCGATCTTCTTGTATAAAGCGTCGGATCGGTCGTCCTCGAGCAGCCAGTGGCACGCGATCGAGACGAACGACATCCACCATTCGGCCACTTGGTCGTGATAGCCTAAGGAAAGCGGAATCCGATTTCAGAGAGATCAAACTTTGTTTAATATTGCGTCTTGTTAAGATTAAACCTTGTCAGGATTGAACCGTGTTGAGATTGAACATAATTGAGATTGAACCTTGTTAAGATTAAACCTGGGGGGCTTGTTGAGATTAAACCTTGTTGGAGATTGGGTAATATTGAAGATCAAGCATTATTAAAGATCAAACTATTTAAAAGATCGAACTACCTCGAAGATCAAACTGTATCAAGGACTGGTATTTCGAAGATCTTACGTTGAACATTGGCCTAGCTCGAAGATCAAACTATCTTGAAGATCGAACTACCTCAAGGATTGAACTATCTCAAAGAATGAACTATTCCAAAGATTGACTCATCTCAAAGATTCATTAATCTAGAAGATCGCACTATCAGATATTGAAACTATCAAGAGATGACTAGCATTATCATACCAAAACAACACGTTCTGCGAAACGTTCGCCTTGGCCCTCAAAAAATTTATGTGTGCCACGAAAGCGGCTACAGCCGCCTTCGGCAGCGGATCGGTGAGAGACGAGCCGTTCGGGGATGCGTTCAATCCTATAAATACCGTTGGATCGGTCGTCCTCGAGCAGCTAGTGGCACGCGATCGAGACGAACGACACCCACCATTCGGCTAGTTTGCCGCGATAACTTAAGAAAAGTGAAATCCGATTCCAGAAAGATCAAACTTTGTTCAAAATTGAACCTTGTTGAGATTGAGCATGCTTAAGATTAAACCTTGTTGAGATTAAACCTTGTTGAGATTAAACCTTGTTGAGATTAAACCTTGTTGAGATTAAACCTTGTTGGGATTAAACCTTGTTGAGATTAAACCTTTTTAGATTAAACCTTGTTGAGATTAAACCTTTATGGATATTGAACCTTACTGAGTTTAGACCTTGTAGGATGTTCACAAGAGCAAGGAATATTTCAGAGATAGACAATGCAATGATTACTTAAGATACTGGGATGCATCCATGAAAAGTGAGACAAAATTCAATTTCGCGGAACAGAAAATATTTAGGAAAAAAATATGAATAGTTAGTGAATTGGACGTCCTGGTTTCGAATCCGAAGTGATTTTCAATCTATCTTCATCGTTATTCACCTAGGTTGAGAATGAGAAGATCACTTTTTAGATCTTCTCAGATCAGATCAGAGGAAATCCTGGAATGATGGTTAGTGGTGGAAAAGAACATATTATCTACTTTTCGCCATGAATACATTATGTGTTATGTTCGACTCACATTGTTCTGAGCTTGCTCCGAACACCGTTCGAGCATCGACGGTTACATTATCTCTCAGCAAATCGATGAACATGAGAGCATCGCCGAGGTCCGTTCTCTTGTCCTGATTGGTCTCGCTCTTTTGGCCGGGCGAGAGTAAAATTTGCAGGGCCATTACCAAAAGATGTTCACGATAAATCTGAGATTGAAAAAAAAGTAACAAATCATTTATAATAATAATAATAATGAAGTTTATTCAAAATGTTGACATAATATGAATTAAAAGTATATATTATATTGGTATTGAATAAACAAAGAAAACCTCAGGAAGTATAACTTGTAGAGTAAATAAAATAAAAAATATGGTTATAAAATCAAAGGATTAATTCGAGACAGAAGTAATTTATAAATAAAAAATATTGTTTTTCATTCAATCATTGGGTATGAATACAATTCAGTACTGTTTAAAATATCGTATATATAGATATTAAATATTAACCAGAGAAGCAAACAAACTCCTTGAAGAGACTAATATCCAGTTTTTTATTTTAGTTTTGTAGCAATCAAATGATTTGACTTTTTTAATATCACCCGGAACTTTATCATGCAAATAAGGAATCAAATATTTATAATTTCTTTGTCCAATTCTTTCATCAGATTTATATTTCAATGTTTTATTTTTGTTTCTTATATCATAGGTAATTTTTTCAATTCAATATTATTTCTGTTTTTGAACATGTAAGTTGATAACAATAAATATTAATTTTCCAGCAATTTTTTTTGTGCGGTTCAAGTTATTTGAAAATTCAATTAAAATTCAGTGGAATAAGAATCTACTCCACAAAATCCAACTTTCAGTCACTAGAACGAAAATATAAACAGAGGGATGAAAAAAAAAATCTACCAAACAAAAAAAACACTTGCCTTCATCTGTATGGCAAGTGGATCGATACTATTTCCGATAGAACTGAACGGTAGATCTCTGCACTTCACGTCCTTGGTGAACTTATGGGAGATGAAAAATTTGAATCCATACGGGGTGAGCAGCCATTGCAACCTTTTCGGCACCTCGTCGCAACAGTTGGTAGAAGATAATTTGGCCAGTCCCAAATAATATCTTGAACACGAAAATATCATCCATTTTTCTTTAAAAATTTTGAACGTATGAGGAAAAAATTTTTCAGCTCGTTTTGTTTTAAATCTTCAATGGAGAAATTTTTTTTCAAGATTCTCAATGTATTATTGATGACTAAAAAAGAGCAAAAAATTCTCTGATTCTTTCAAGATAATCTTGCATGACACACAAATATGACAAATACAAGTGAAAGTTTAAAAAATACACCACTATTATTATTTTTGCGAAAACTTAGTACACTAACTGCACATGCAAATATTTGGAGAATGCTGGAAAGGCAGGCCAATGAGCCAATAATTCGAAAAATGCTCAAAACTTTGTTCCATTTTCCTTTCTTTTAATTCTCACAATGCAAAGAAAGTAGCAAGTTCAGTAATCAAATGGATCAATTTTCATAAGTCAAACAAACTTTTGTTGAATCAAGTAAAATCTACACATCACCTGTGTGTGACGTCACCTGTGTGTGAAAGAGATGAATTATTTCATGAATAAAATTGTTTTTCCACAATATAAATACTCAAACTGAAAACAAAAAATCAATTCACACAATAATGAGAATAAACCAAAATAGAGTTGATTAAAAAAGATCATCGACTTTTTTGCATTATTTATCAACTTTCAACTTCTTGTTTGAAAATTATATGAGATATTTAGACGTTTTAATTTTGATGGTATTTTATTATACATTTTAGATCTAATGAAACTAGAATGTTTTTCCAAAATTCTGACCTTAATTTTTTCCGGAATTTTCTATAACAAAATTTCACATACATTGATGTATAGACGGACGTGAAAATTTTAAAAAATTCAAATATTTCTGCAAAAATCGTGAATGCACCTACAGGGTGGCCATTTGAAAACAAAACAGGGGCTCTGTAGGTAGCTAGAACCGGATTATAAACAAACACAGGAACTCTGGAACACGTCAACTCAATTTTCGAGGGGGACATTGTCCTAAAATGCCATACCCTGTATTTCATTGCATTTTTAGATTCTCCATCTGAAGAAATGATTTCATAAATACATCACACTCGGGGTCTAGCGGGAATTATTCAAATTCAGGATTTTTTGTGTAGAAACTATTCATTATATCTCAACTTTCAATTTATTAACTACTGACATTAAATTGGAACAATCAAATGTCAGTATATAGAAAATCAAAAGTTAAGATAAAGACATGAAAGCCTTTTTGACCAAAAATGAATAGTTTCATCACAAAAAAATCCTAAATTTGAAAAAACTCGATTTTGAACACCCTACATCTCAGTAATAATTCCCGCTAGACCCCAAGTGTGATGCATTGATGAAATCAGCTCTTCAGGGAGAATCTGAAAATGCAATGAAATACGGGGTATTCTATTTGAAATAATAAAGTGCCCTGAAAAGATTTGAGAACGATTTCTCCTCCTCGAAAATTTAATTGACGTGTTCCAGTATTTTTTTATAATCCGGTTCTGGCAGCCTACAGAGCCTCTTTTCTGTTTCTCATCTAAATGGCCACCCTGTATGTATAAAAAAATACCGATTTTTTTTTCAAAAATTTCAAGTTCAATGAACTGAAAGATGCTAGAATCACATTTATTTGTACTGGAAGAAATTCAAGAATTGCAAACAAATACAAGTTTAAAAGGAACGCAATTTAAAAAAAAAACGACCCCATCTCTTCAAAAATTACCGAACCACTGTAAAAATCTAATACCCCAAAAAAAAGAAAATAATCAACACAAGTCCGTCCCCCTACCTTTGTATAGGATGAAGAAAATTAGGAATGCTAGCCTTGATCCTCAAGGCCACCCCTACATAAATATCGATCATGTCCACTTGCTTTATCCTCCCCTTAGCTGCCTCCGCCATATTTATCGCGTTCAGGGCCGTAGTGAGGCCGAGAAGGTGGCAGGTCTCCTCTGGCCCTGCCACCAACTGGATTTTGTGCAAATCGCTGAAAACCAGCGCCAGCTCTTTGCAAGACGACTGGGCCTCAAAGCGAATAGACCTGAAAACAAATTCATTGAGGTCTAATTGATAGTTGAGTAAAATGTCAGAATTTTTGAGCTTGTTGATTTCTAATGATTTGAAATGATTGAGTTTCATTCCTTTATTTTCTACGTTTAGAATTTCGGAATCATCATCAGAACTATGGTTTTTTCCTAATACATGGTTGGCGTATGTTGAATTTGTTTTCTTTTTTAAAAAAATTCATCTTATGTTCATGAATGCGCTGATTAAACGTACGACCTGTCTGACCGATATACCGGGTGGCTACGGAAGTATTGCCTACGGAATATCTCAGTTATTGTATGAAGTAGGTTCGTGAAATTTAGAGCGTCGATATAATGACATAAAAGCTAGAATTTGAGAATACTGACATGTCGAAGTTAACTTCCGGTCTGACCGGAAGTAACATCAACTTCCTTATTTTGAATGGAAACCCTATCTTTTTTTCTTTTCGCTTTATTCAGCATTCAATTCCCTTTCTAATGACATATCACAAGTTGGTATCTAACCAGAAACTAGATCAGAAAAAAAATATTATTGAAATTCACCGAGTAGGCCGTGGAAGCAAAATGAAAAACAATAGTTTGATTTACATATTCATTGAATGAGGAAGATTTCCTTGAACAAATAGGCAAGGACACAAATGCGTGAATTCTATTTAAATGTGCATATAATTGAAATATAGTAGTAACATAACATGACTGCATCAATTTTTTGATAAAATATGCTGTAATTTTTCAAAAAACACCATTTGAATACCCTAAAATATCATGGAACGTTCAAACATAGAGTTCGGAGGCACCAGTACTGACGTGATAATCCCTTTTCCTGTGTTGCCAGCTGTTTTATTTTGAGGAAACATCAAGTAAATATTTCTTAAACCAGAATCGATCCTACTGTGAACTGTTGAGATTTGATTTGATATTCATTGATGAACATTATTATTATTATTAAACATTATTATTATAGTAAATGTCATCAATATAGTATGTACTGTATGGTATAGGTTGTTTCCCTCATTTCCAATTCTTCAAGTTTATAGCTGACATGATTAGTAATTGAGTAGGTTGTAGCATGTTGTAGGTTAGATCAACAGTGACGAAATTTGGTCTACTACTCAATTATTCGTTCAAACATAGGTTTCTATAAAACAATCTAACTGAATGATTGTGGTATACTTTTTAATGACCTCAAATTCTGGTCACATAACTTCAATGTCTATGTCAAAACATGCCACAATCCAATGTATAGGAAAACAAAGACATCTTTCGACGAGCGCGAAATATTCACGGAGATATTGACGCTCTGCCAACTAACTTAGATCAGTGTGAATCGCGGCAAAAGGGAATAATTTCTGAACTCAAATTTGATGGCATGAAAAATATGTATTCTCATAAACTATACAGAGAAATGAAAATTTCAATGTTGAAATTTGTTCATTGTCTTACCGAATTACACTGAAGCATTTTTTTTGGGGGTCCTAGTAAACTCAAAATCTATAATTTGAATTTTGTTGCCTGACAATCAAAGGAAAAAAATTGCCTTTGAAAAAAAAACACGGACTTGTATTTTTACAAGGTTACTTTGACAATAAAAAGCTCTGGTGTGATAAGTTATAAAACGTGAAAACATAAATGAAAATGATTGTTCTACTACCAGTTTTGACCCCTTAACAAGGGGGAACCAATTTTATTCCCTCTAAGGTTTACATAGGTAAGAGAAATTTTGCCTTCTCTATTTGATATTGTAGGAGAATTGGAGGATACTTCATGTGTTTTCGCAATTTTTCAGCATAATCAAAACTGAATTCCCCCCCCCACATTAATATAGGAAATAATTTGAAACAGTGACCATCTACATTTTGTATCATAATACGTTTTTCATTTTCTTACCCATCAACGAAAAATCCCCCAGTGTGTCTGGACATCCACCTACCGATCCACAGTCTGTGCATGAGCTGTCTGAAGAGTTGCCAACAGAAGCAGAGGAACAATTCAAATCTGCTGGTAGGCAATGTGATGCCGAAAGTTTGCAAGCATCTGAGTAGTTCCTGTTTGGCGCCAATTTTGTCACCCTTGAAGATGAAAAATCCCAAATATTCCAGTTTATCGGTTGAATGAAGATTATTATCACTATTATTATTATCATTGTCAGTCTTAATATAAATAGTGGAAGGTTTTAGTTGTTTGTGAGTATGGAATTACGTCAGGTACCCTTATGAGGGGAGTGTATCAACTTTGGCATTCATAATATCTCTCCATAAAGTTATAAACATTAACTATCTTCATTCAAATTTGAAGAAAGGTGGGAAAAATCAAAAAAGTGTTGAGCAATTTGTCAATAGAAATAGAAAGAAATTCGACAGAATGAATAAGTAGTTTTTGATGTAAGTACTTCAAGAAAAATCATAATTTCTTTCGAGATTCATAAAAAACACGTCTTCAAAAAGTAATACAAAGATTACCGCATAAAAAAGTATTTTTATATGTAATTTTCTAGTGTTTTTTGTGAATTTTCCATTAACAAAGAAAACATGCGACATTGATAACCTCACCTCTTTCAAAAATGTGTCTGCCTGTCTCCGGTGCCGCCAGAATGTCTGAGATTCCTTGGATTTTTCCGGAATTATCGGGTCTCCGTAGACGAACATTTTCACCAGACAGAAACACAAAATGAAAATGTTCAGCAGCCATAACATCAAGGTAGATATGGAGAATGATACTGAAGCAGGGTCGGTCCCTGATAAAAGAACAAGAATAAAGTGAGAACATCACCATCACAAGTCAATTTTTTTTTCTCTCTTCTAAGGAAACCATTGAGTATATGCCATGAAACGCTCTGACAGTGTATGATTTTAATCAATGTTATCAAAAATAATGATAATCACTAAACAATTCCATATCACATTAAAATAAAATCTGTAATGGCAGGAAAGATCCCAGACTGACATCTAAATAGCAGGAAAATAACTGGTCAATAAAGTCATTAAACAGCTTGGAGAATAATAAACTAATAAAGAAATATGAGTCATCTATATAAATTGATGTTGGGTATACTCAAGACAAATCATTAATTAGGGAAGACTGAATATATTCTGGGCAAATTATTCAGCTTTTGAAATTTGTTTGTAGGTGCAGTTTTGATTACCCTATTAATTGAAATCAATTGTCAATGGTTCAATGGACAATAATAATTATAACACTAGGAATTATTCATAGTGTCTAATTAACCTTTTACTAACAGCAAAAAATGCATCAAAAATGCCACGAGCTGTCAAGTATTATTCAATTTTGAATAAAAAAAACATAATTCAATGTTATTTAAAACTTTTATTTAACTTGCAATGTATGCATGTTACTCACATACATGTTTTTGTTCGGTGAAATTTTTTAACTCAATTTTGAAGTAGATATCTTCAACCGATTCAGCTGAAATTTTTTATACACGTCTAGTTTGGATGACAATGCACTAAGGTGTGTGATGTTATACTAAATCCAATATGGCGGACCATCCAAGATGGGGAAATAGTTATTTTTAATGCTCTTCTACAATATGGGTATGGCGACAAGTTTTTATGATCATATAAATTATGTATAATGAGGTTATAAGTTGATAGTTAACATTTAAAATGAAAAATTCATTTTCTTCCTTTTAGAGCCTCTAAATAAGAGGGTTTTTTTCATTTTATTTTAAAGTTATAATTTTTTTTTAGATTAGCTATCTAAACAAGCGTGTATCTCAAGTTTTTCAAACTATTCTATTTATTTTCTACTTCTTTTTGGACCTACAATTATTTCTAGAAAATATTTTTTTGTTGAATATTTATCAACAAAATTCAATTATTCTGTTTCCTACTTTTTTTTAGCTTGACTATCCATAAAAACGTGTTTTCTTAGTTTTTCAACTATTCATTTATCTTCTACTTCTTTTTAGTTCAATCTAACTCTTCAGTTTTTTGAACTATACTATCTATTTTCCACTTATATTTAGTTTGGCCTCGAGTTTGGCTATCTATAAAAGCATGTTCCATTATAGTTTTCCAAACTTCAATTCTTTACATAGCTCATTCGCCATATTGGATCCGCCATCTTGAATTTCATAATTTTGAAGAAAAAATCATAATCTCCGACCCCGAAGATCCCCAGATACAAATCTCGAATATAATCAGATCATAATTACAAAACTCGTCTACCATATTGAAGCAGCCACCTTTGATGTCCTAATTTTGACAAAGTAATTATAATCATCGACCCCAAAAACCCCCAGATACCAGTTTTCCGCCATCTTGAATTTATAAATTTTGACGAGTCATAATCTCCGACTCATAAAACCCCTTTATACCAATTTTGAATAGAATCGGATTATAACCAAGAAAAAGAGTCATCATCTCCAACTTCAAAAAACCCCAGATACCAATTTTGAATAGAATCGGATCATAATTACAAAACTCGTAATAGCTACGACCTACCGAATACGCACAAAAATTTCCATAGGAATCGGTAAATCCGTTTCTCAATAATTAGCGATAAAAATTTCGATGATTTTCATCAATTTTCGAAATATCCGTTGTTAATTGTGAGCTCCCACTCCTATAGTCCATTGATTGTTAATAATTGTAAGCTCCCACTCCTATAGTCCATTCCAACTAAGAAGACAGCATTGGAAGTCACAGAAAAGCGTTGACCTTCGCTTTCATTGGTTCAACATAACATTCCAGAGATACCAATGTCGATGAGTCACATATGCAATGTTAATTTGATTTGAAATCATCGTTTCATATGGTTTTCATTATGGTTTTCATGATTTATATACATATATTTCTTTTTGTTCTTTGTTATATTATAGATACCGCGTTAATCGTTATCATTATCTTTTTTTGTCATGTTATTCCAAATGATATTATTATTATTATTATATAGGAGGCAGTATTACACTTGCCAAATATTATCACTTACGACGTGGCGTTACGGTTGAACTTTTCTTTATGTCCACATCATAAAATTTCGATTATTTCTCGTACATCAAAATGTTACCATCATTTTGGATTAGGCGTCAACATTTATTTTGTCACTGTAAACATCCCTTCAGAGCGCCACCTACTATCTTCTTATTTGGAATGTAGTATATAGTTCGCTTTCTACCCGTAGCACGCCCATGTTCCTTTTTGAGGATCGCCCACCCCAAGTAATAACTCTGAGTTTTTCCCACTTATGTTACCATTTCATTCCCCATTGAGTATTTCGTCTTTTTCCTAGTTGAATATTTTCAAGTCTGAAAAAAGGCGCTTCAGCTTCACTGCCCCTATTCCAAACAACGCAAATAGACAGAGAAAATACTCACACAGCATCCTTCTCACCGTCCCTTTGCCACCATCTCCCCCTCCCCCGAACCGCTCCAGCGCCACCCCGAACGGATTCGCCACCACCAACACCATCATCACCACGCACAACGTCAACCTCGAACTGTCCACCATTCCCTTCGACTAGAATTGGGAAAAATTCACTTTTAGTCATGTTACTTTCGTGTTCCTAGGGCGATTTGGATTTTTTTCCCTCTCATAATATCGAGGGGTAAATCACGTGAAAAGTCCAGTGTACCCGAGACGAGATTTCCTCGGGAAGTTCGGGTATTCTTTGGGAGGTCCGGGAATTCTTTGGGAGATCTGGGAATTCTTTGGGAAGTCTGGGAATTTCTTTCTTTATGTTCTGGTTCCCACGAAAAGGGATATCCTGTAATGTTCAGAGAACATCGTGAGAACCAAGAGAAATAAGGTAGGAATTGGTGTTCCTTTTAAATTTATGGAGGTTCTATGCCTCGGGGAACACCTCTTTTGGCAATGTGTTCCAGAGCCTCGCTGTTCGTTGGATGAACGAGTCTTTGGAAAGAGATGTTCTGCAGGTCCTCAAAGTGACCACCAAGAGGTGCGAAGCCTCAATTCGACGGGTTAATCTCGCGGGGACTGCCAAGGGCAGGTGTCAAAAAATCAAATTAGATTGACGAAAAACGAAACTTTCTGAAAGTAAAAGATATTTGAAAGACATTTTCCTTGTTTCACTAGTTCATAATTCTTTCAAGTAAGACAGGTTTCATATGATCATTCCCAGATGAAATAAATTCTCTCGATCTCAGAGAAATTTCTCCAATCACCATGATCACTGCTGCAAATATTAGTTGATCAATTTTCTAGATTTTCACCTCTAGTATTATGATTTTGAAATTATTTGGATTCCCCAGATACAAATATAACCTCTTATGTAAATTCTTTCATGCAAGGTCATGAAGTTTCTCGTTTTATTTGTAAACGTCATTCTGTTCCCACCACCGCTACCAGAATGGAACAAATAAAACGCAACTATTGACATTTCAGTATTCGCGGTCGCCAAGGTCATTAGATGACGTTGCGACGACATTAAAGACTACGGGACAACATGCTTAACTGTCAACCTATAGTTGCCATTAATTTATCCGATTCCGCCACCCGAATCACTTCTCCAGGAGTTCGGATGTCTTCCCGTACTTTTGAATTTCATTGCAACTTCATCTAATGACCTTGGTGACCGCGAATTGACGTACCTCATATGCACCAATATGATTTTCAACCAGTCAGATGTGAAGTTCACAAAAACTATTTTTTGTTGTGAATAACGTTTGATAGAAAGCTGAGTTGACTCAAAGATCATACACAAGCACCGTAAAAGTAAGGATGGGTAACACTAAGTTGGGAATGAACAGAGCGGTGATAATCCGCTTTGCGCATCTATTCATTTTAACGTCGCGTATTCCACCGACTGGGATAATAATATTTGGTCAACGAATAGCACAGCCGATTAGCCGCCGGTCTGTTAAATCCCATCGGAGCATTGCCAATTTTAACACAGGCGTTGACTATCTAGTGTGTGTATGATCTTTGGCTGACTGGATTCAGGCAAAACATAAGAGCGACTGGGAAAACATCCCAAGAAACAGACATGGTAAACAATACATTAAGGAACCAAGTCATAAAGGAACTGTAGACCTGCTCAACGTGACCAGTACTGTAGAAATAAAAATTGTCAAGGGGATCATGACTGGCCAAGCACCAGTAAAGGAGCACCTCACCAAAATGCAGACTATGCAGAAAGGAATCAGAAACAGTATCACATATACTGTGCAGATGCGAAGCATTGAACTGCAAAATACAGAAAATTTTTGGCAACCAGTTGGCGAACCAGAAATATTTAACTTACATCCAATGAAGGATCTATACAGACTTGTTCAAGGTACAGAGATAATGGAGTGGGCACAATAACAAAAAACTACTAGATAAGATACAATGGGCCACCAGGCCCAAGTGTCTTCAGAGACATTGATCAGACGAGCTTACAAGCAGGGAGGAATGTTGAGTGGATATACCCTGGCTTGCGTCAGGGGACTACCACACTATCATATGGGGGATTAGACCCATATGATGTCCTCAAAGGATTTCAGCTACCTCGAAAAAGAAAAAGCTGAAATGACTCCTACAATCTGATTTCACCAAAATAAAGCTATTTTAGTAATCAAACTCCCATAATATTGCTTCTACAGTGGTAGAGGTTTTCTATTGGCTGGAGCAAAGTCTTCCAATAAAGCCTAATTATGGGGATTTCATACACCATAGGAGATACAGGGCCTGTTGAATTATAGCAAAGTTGCGCAAGTTCATGCTTTAACAAAATACTGTTTTGAAAATTGAAAAATTCCAAATACTCCCAGATTTTTGGAAAAAACGAATATTCCTGATTTAATTTTTTCATGTAATGAAACAAATTGCACTCTATCAATGCTACTTCGTCTGTTCTACAAGATGGTGTTTTCAGATTTTCAAACCAACTTCTCTTCATATTTAGTGAACTATCCCACCAGCTGACGGCCATTCTGCCATTCATCAAGAACATGTCAAATTCATTGTTACTGTAGGTGAATAGAAATCTTTGATTTTTTTCTGAAAGTTCATATCACACAGCTAGTTTCAACCTCCAAAGTGAAAAAAATAGAAAAAGGAATTAGGGTCTCTTGATGTAAATAGACCTATTTGTCATCTTATCGGTCGCGTACACGATGTCCGACCCTGTTAAACATTGAAACACGACCTCAATTTTTTCATTTGTTTACAGAGGAATCGAAGGTTTGAAATAGTTTTTCACAATATTTTGGTATACGAATCGTGTTTTTTGCGCTATTCAATGATTCAAGCATGACTTCTAATTGTGCTGTTGTACAATCCACAAAAAAATGCAGCGAGAGACAAAGGAATATGATATTTCAGGTAAATAGTATTCTCACATAGTTTTCATCATGAAATTTTGTCATTTCTTATCAAAATTAATTCTGCCACTTCTGCAATAGAAGTTAATACTGCTACAAGATTGAAAATGTTGCCAAATGTACTAGCCGGATTCCTTCGTCTCCTGCTGCATTTTTTGTGCATTGTACAACAGCACAATATGATGGCATTAAATGAATAGCCGAAAAATACGATTCGTATGCCAAAATAATTAAGAAAAACTATTTCAATCACTTGTAAACAAATAAGAAAAGTGAGGTTGTGTTTCAATGTTTCACCCCCAGGGTCGTTCATCTGACAGTTCTTGCACGCAGCCCATTGCATTCAAAATAATGTGTATAACGTAATTCAAGGTTCTTCAAATATCTGTAACCTTCATTTCATATTTCTTGTCGATTTTCCTATACAAAATATGTCATCTGAAATAAATCATGAGTATATAATGTGTCCAATGACAAAATAAGAAGAGGAAGTAGCTGTAAATGCGTATCCAAGACAGGCGAAATAAGAATATTAAATTCAGAACTTTTTCGTGAAATATCTCGATAAAATAGTAGTTTGTATTTTCCGAGACAAAAATATAAGATAGGACTGAAACAAAAACAGTTTTCCTCGATTTTTTCGAAAAAATTACCACTACCTTCGACACTCCCCCACTTTCGTCGTCCGTCTCGTCCTTGATGTCCGTGCTGTACTCCGGACTGGGCGGCAACGAATGCGGCGGCGACAGCGAGATGTCCGAATGCGGGGGCGAGAGGGAGGGGTCCGAATGTGGGGGCGTGTCCACGGGGCGGTACTTGTCGCCGGTGGTCAGCAGGTCTTTGAGCGTGTTCTGACGCGCCGACATCTTGAGAGCCATGTTTTCCTGTTTGAGGCGCGTGTTGGAGTTCTGGAGGAAGCGGATGTATTCGATGGTACGCCTAAGTATGGCCGACTTGTTCATCTGGAATGAAAGTAAGGTCGAATTCTCGGAAATGGGTGTGGCGAGAGGAGTGTCTGTCTCAAGAACCTTTACCTAGATAAGCGTGTCTATCTAGATAAGGGTGTTTATGCAAGTCATGTCTATCCACGGGACGTGTTCGCCTCGAGCATGATGGTGGATGGTGTGACTCAGGTATCTTGAATTCGTCTTTTCTGCGCATAACGTCATTGCGAGTCTATACTAGCACCAAAATGATCACGGCGACTCGGGCGAACTGATAACTGTGAGCTCAGACTGCTAGCAATTGTTTTACTCGCAGTGACGTATTCGAAAATGCGTCGTAGCACACCATCCTAATTCCACCATGGTCTCGAGGGGTGTGTTCATTGAAGAGGCGTGTTCTTTTAAGATATGTCAAAAGGCTGAACGCAAAGGCAGGTCCAATACAGAGGAAATGCGAAAGTTAACTGAACTGGAGATGGAATGTGTATTGGATAAATGATGCTCCCAGTGAATTCGATGAAACATACATTGTAGTGGGAAGGGGCGTGTCTTACTGAAACGAAAGGCGTGTCCAATAAACAGGTACAGTACACAGCAATTATCCGAAAGTGAGGGCGACAGCGAGATGACCAAATGTCAGCCTAGAGCGTGTGCAAGGAGCGTGCCAATTCAATAGGCGTGTCCGTCTCATAGGGTGTGTTTATTCAAAATGGCGTGTCCAATCAACAGGAAAACCGACATTTCACTTGAGTGGAGATGGAATGTGTTTTATGTCCAGTGGAATCGAAGAAACGGCAATGAGTGTGACGAAACTAAATGACGTGTCCAATCGATAGGTACAGAACAAAAAAAAATTTCACTCAAGTGTTTTCCTGTTTGAGGCGCGTGTTCGAGTTTTGGAGGAAGCGGATGTACTCGATGGTACGTCTGAGGATGGTCGATTTGTTCATCTGAAACGGGGGGTCATGAACAGTAAGTGCTGACGAAAAAGGCGTGTCCGATCAAGAGGCGTGCCGTCTCAAGGGGTGTGCCCGTACGATGGGGCGTGTTCTGCTAAGATTTATGTCCGAAGTCTGAACTAGAAGGCGTGTCCAATCCACAGGAAAAGTGAAATTTGAATGGAATGAAGATGAAATTTGTATCAAATGAATGCTGCATCGCGTGGATTCGTAGGAACGGAAATGAGTCTGGCTAGAGCCGTGTCTTACTGAACTAAAGGGTGTGTTTAATCAACAAATTTCAATGGAGTGTTTTCCTGTTTGAGGCGCGTGTTGGAGTTCTTGAGAAAACAGGTGCATTCGATGGCACGTCTGAGCATGACTGATTTGTTTATGTGAAATGGGAGTCAGGTTAAATTTGCGGAATGGGCGTGGCAAGGGAGTGTCTTCGTAGAGGCGTGTCTATCCAAGAAGCGTTCTTATCTCAAGAAGCGTGTTCGTTCGAAAGGGTGTGTTCCTTTAAGAGATGGTTAAAGTCTGAACTTGAAGGCATGTCCAATCAACAGGAAAGATGAGATTTTACTCAAGATGGAATGTGTGTGGAAGAGGCGTAACTTACTGAACTAAAAGGGGTGTGCAATCAACAGGTCCAGAACCAAGAAATTGTGGAATAAAAACAACGGAAAAACATGTCTTACTTTCAATTTATAGCAGGAGTTAGGATGTCTTAGGGTAATTTTGAATGTCATTGCAACGTCATCTAATGACCTTGGCGACGGCGAATAGGTTAAAAGTTGCGTCCAAGTGATCTCAAAGAATTGGAAATGGGTGTAGCATGAGGCGTGACTCATTAACTAAGAGGCGTGTTTGACTAATTTTTTCAATTTCAATTGTGATCTGAGTAAGATTAAAAACTGCTGTAAAAACAAATCACCAAAGCTGAAATGTATTTAGAAGTAAGTGTTAACATACAATTATGTAAGTGTGAAAACATTTATCCTCATCAGTCCAACGTTAATATTCAAAAGTTAAATTAAAGAAAATACAAACAGTTTACAACAACAAAACAGTCTATACTTTATAATAATATTGCCTGTAAATAAACTGAATTTATAGACAACAAACATGTTTGGGTGAATAGAGAAAAATAATGGAAATAATTGATTTTAAGGTTCATTATTTCTATATTCCAGAAGAAATCAGTATAAATCAGAAAAATCTTGATTCAATCTAAAAAATCTGTTTTTTTTAATATCCTGATATTTTCCAACTCTGAATCTGACTGAGGTAATAGGGCTACCTATGAATGAAATGAGTTTTTTGATTAACATCACTCACTTTGGCATCCTCTCCAACTATCATATTCTTCAACTCCACAATTTTGTCATTAATACTAGTCCTGTACTTTCTTTCAATGGCATTGTGTGTACTTCTTTTCACCTCTTTCCCTTTGAATTGACCATTTGGAACCATCCTGTTGATGGCTACCTTGGTTTCAGCATCTAACACCAATGGAATTCCAGTGGTGGTTATGATTCCGCTGTTCAAAAGAGAATGGATGGGTTGTGATGAGGTGTTTGAAACAGGGGTTGTGTACAGCACTGTAGGTGGGTTACCCTGGAACTAAAATATTATAGTGTTATCTAAATTAGTGGGTACCTACTTGGGTACCTAACTCTTCTAGCATTTTGTTAACTAAATGACAAATTGAGCTTTTGGGTTGTGGTTAATTGGAAATTACAATAAGAGACATACTTCTTGCTTACAACTTATGTGTAACATGATGTGATTAGTTCTTCCTTGAATTTTTTGTGCAAGAGATTCTGCAGAACAAAAAGACAATACTGAGATAGTTACTTCTGAGATGTTCATTAGAAGTTTGAAAAAAAAAAAAGGTAAAACCTTGTCATTGATTACATATTTCAATGAGCAAAAATATTACCTAGGTCTAGGTGTTTATTACAAATGGGTGACCTTGAAAGTCATGAGGATCATAATAAAATCTACTTTCTATCCTGCTCTTTGAATAGATACTTTAAAAACTGTACTGATCTTACTATTGACCACCACATTAAAGAAAGATTTAAGCATTTTGTGTTTCATTGATTCCTAATGTTGCAAATAAAATATCTGGACTAGACTAGAATCATTATAATTATTTCAATTGAAAAAAATATTAACATAAATGAACCCTCTGAAGAGAGGTAGGTGAATCATTTCAGTATTTAGACCATGGGATGTTGCCAAATAAAAAAAGGAATATATCATAATAAATTTTCTGGATCTGTGATATGTTGGCCCTGTGGCACTTTTTTATCAATGAAATTTTGAGCTAATGATATGAAATATTGTGATATCAACTGAGCAAAATGAAAAATAAAAGTTGATTCACTTGAGGTCATTTTTGATGCTTCTTTCTATTTATGTCCAATACTGAGCCCAGTATTGACTCTGTGGTATTGACCTCCATATTTTTATTAAGAAAAAAATTAGCTTATGTTCTCTCAATTCATGATGTCATGATGAAGAACAAACTGGAATATTTCCTGTTGATTCACAGACAAGTGGTCTCACTGGAGGCAGGTTATTCATATTATTTGGTTCATCTGTTATTGCTGAATAAATGAACTAAATAAATTGAAATCATAATAAATTTTCCAGATTTAGGATGAAAATATTATGTTGGCCCTCTTGCACTGTTAATCAATGAAATTATGAGCCAATGATAATACTACATGAAGTTCACTAAGCAGTGAGCATGATGGAAATTTAAATCTGACTCACTTGTTGATCACTTTTGATGATTTTTCCTTGTAGCACAACAGGCTGCATATGTTCTGTTTGAATCTGCTGTATATTCTGTACAATCACAGGCCTACTCTTCTGTCTGCTCCCTTGTACATTATTACTTGATTGAACAATAATATGCTGCCCCTGAATGGGCAAACTTGTATAAACTACTGACTGAGTGTGAGAACCTGGTTGCAAATTGGGTGTGGAAATGATCATAGCTGTTGGGTTTTGCACTGGTAGAGGCACATTTTTCACCTGGAGCACTGGCTGGCTATATTCTGGGTTGGTGTTTGGAAAAGGAGACACTTGTGGAGACACTTGGGGAGAGGCAAAAACAGAGCTGGACCTCACAGGGGGTGACAACGTTTGGGGGTCTAAGAGGGTGCTGCTGTCTCCCAATTCGTTGAAATCCATCAAATCCAAGGGTACCTCATCACTGAGATGCAGCAGAGCATCATCTCCGAATAATAATTGGCCATTCTTCAGCAGTTCACTCTCGCAGTGATTCAAGATATCTATGAACATGGAAAAACATGGATAATGAAAAACAATTGAATTTTGATGCAAAACAGGGGATGTTAACTTACCGTCGATGCCAGTGAGGTCTGGAATCATGTTGAAATCATCTGTCGAGGCCAAATGGGACAAGTTGTCCTCCATTTCACAGGTTTTTAGTTTCACCACTTTCTTGCGTTTTTGGAAATCGTACCATTCAATAAAATAAGTCACCACACTTCGATCGACGAATCAAATGACAGATCGCATGAGGTGATGTCTGACGTCATAATAGGAGGTTTGTATTTTATTTTTTCAAATTGATGCGGAACTAGAGCCACCTACACACGAATAGACGAAGCACTGGTAGAAAGCTAGGAAAAATGTTACAGAGTTCTTTAATATTGTTCCATAGATCTTGCACATCGTGGATCTTGCTACGTTACGTAGGAAGTAGGAAGTTTGGGGTACAATTTTACAGAGTTCTTGAAAGTTGTTGCTTCACTACTTTTTTGTAGATTGCGTCGGCAAGCCGATTTGCTCAAGTTAAAATACTGCTCCAGGCCCAGAGATGGAGTTACAAATAAACTAGAAAATGAAAAGTAGGTAGCAAAGAATACAATCATAGATCTTACAATCTATGTTACAATATATCCTTTTACGGCTTTTACAGTCAGTCAGTACTCAGTAACAAGAAAAAATGCTCATTTGTAGAACTAGACTCTGTCCTTAGATGTACTCTACATTTGATTGATTTTTGGAAATCAAACTGACAAGAACATCCGTTTACCGTTTTAGAAAAAAATTAATTATTCACCTTTTGATTCGTTTTTTTCTGTGCTGTTAGTACAATTTCACACTTCTCTAAAGAAGTCCAGTAATAGTGGTCACTTTTCCGAACGCGATTTCAGGACGAACTTCGCTAAGCGTCGTTCTGCCATTGACAATCGCGTGCGGAAAAGCATCAGTTTCCGCACTTGCTAGGTAAACTACTATATCAGTGCGACGAATAAGAAGCGCTATAACATGTATAGATCCACCTTAATCCTTAACCACGCAAAGAAATTCAGCTTATAGAGTTTGGCCTACTTCACTAATTATATATCGCTCCAAAATGACGCAAGTTCATTTTATATAATCATGTTTTCCAATTATTATTTTGATTGAGAGTTTACTGAAGCCGCTAAGCCCATACAGTGAATTATCAAGTCAGTATACAGACAACGAAGATTCATCAATGTATAATGAACCAAGAACTACTATATAGAACATTTCGACTCTTTTGAGCAATTGATGATGTTAATCAAGTTAGCATTAGGTATAAATTAAAAAAATGGGATAGAAATATCGAAACAACGCAAGGGACACCCTGTGTATACAGTATACAGTATACCATGTTTTTGAAGCAATATTTTGCACGAATTCATACAATGAATTGGTATTTATTTTTTTCCACGGAAACGCAGCAAAATAGCAAAACAATTCAAGAGACCAAAATATTGTATTTTCAGTTATTCATTAGGATATGAAGATATCGAATTTGAAAAATATCAGTGGCGCACATTTTATTGACAATAATTTTCGGTAGGGTGCCCCCGGGACGCCACTGGATTTCACAATGACAATTTGATGTTGGTTAAATCAGCCTCCCACTACAAAGAATATCATTGCCGAATTTCAAGAGAATCGGTGGAAGCATATTCGAGATATTCATAAAAAAAACGATTTTTTCTAAAAAGTTGAACACACTGTATCTTGAAAACTATGCATTACCGGACCCACGTATATATGAAGAAAAGTTCATGTTTCCTCATGCAGAATCAACCTATTGATTTTTTGCGCATAATTTCCGGACACCCTGTATCTTACGTATATTCGTTGGGTAAGGATCCTGAAATTTGCTGGAGCGAGAGATATACCAAAAATGCACTCTTTGACCAAGTGATGTCATCTTCAGTGATATACAGTGCTCGCCAACAGCCAGTCAACTACCCCAAATGATATTACAAGTCGAAATAGGTTAAAATCCCTTCGTATTCGAAATAAGGACACCCAATTCACTAACTTTTCATATTTTTTTCCTGAAAAACGTTTACATTCTGAAAATTCCATTTTTGTCTCACTCATCATAGAAACACCCCCGTAGGTATCTTACGTAATTATAGAGTCAGTTCTCTTCAGGAAAAATGAAATAACAATCTGAACTAGTATAATCGGATAGATTATAAGGAGTGATCCGATGGATAAGACGGGTGTCATTGAAATTAATTATGAATTGATGAATTCGTTAATAGTATGAAGAAAATTGTTACCGATAATAATGCGTCAAAATATGGGAAGTTAGTGAATTGGACGTCCTGTTCTCGAATCCGAAGTGATTTTCAACCTATCTTGTCTCTTGATATTATTTTCTGGACTAGTGTGTAGTTCCACGGCTGTTGGCGAGCAGTGTAAATCACTGAAGATGTCCCCACTTAGTCATAAAGTGTATTCTTGGTATATCTTTCGCTCCAGCAAATTTCAGGATCTTTGCCCAACGATTACGTAAGATGCAGGGGTGTTTCTATTAGAAGTCAGACACACTGTATATCCATTTTTCATGTTCATAATTTATCTGAGAATATTCCTTTTTAATACTTTCACCCAATCAAGGGGTTCGAACTTGAACGATGGAAACTTGCTATATTTATAGACCCTCAATCGCAGATTCGTGTTTAGGTATTCTCAATTCAGAATGTCTTTCCACGTCCTGTATGATGAATATCAATCTGTCATACATCCACAAACAAACAAAAAAGACATGTTTATTAATGCGATAACTTCTATCGGAAAACAAGCACACCCTGTACAGTGTCCAGTTTTCGATGCTTCTTCGCGATATCTCAGTTATCTTTGTAGATAGTGTTGCGGTTATCACATTAATGCCACAAACAGAATTTCCACAGTCCTTCATATGGTTTAGATTTTTTTAGATACTTACAGGGCGAAGTTGAAAATTCTCACTTTTTGAGCAACTTCCGTATCTTGGTAACTTTTCAGCTCATCGGCACGATGAAAACGGGGCCTTGTATAACTTTCCACGTATAATACAGTGGCGTACTCATTTTATTTCTGTAATCGCTCATTTTTGGAAAATGGTGACTTTTCAAACGGGTATATTTCCATCTACTTCGATTCAGATTTCTCACAGCTCAACAAAAATATATATTAGTTGATTTTTTTTATAAAAACAAACTATTTCGGGTACATTTTCTTGAAATGAGCGATCACAGAAGTATAATGAGTACGCCACTGTATTATACGTAGAAAGTTCTCATTCTGCCAATAAGTTGAAAAGTAACCAAGTTACGGGGTTGCTCAAGAAGTGGGAATTCTCAACTTCACCCTGTATCTCAAAAATATCAAGGACTGTGAAAATTCTGTTCGCTTCCATTATTCGTTTCACGAAAAAGAAAGACAGTAATGTGCAAAGCGCTCCATCACACTCCATCTTCAAAGATAACTGAGATAATGAGATATCGTGCAAAAGCATCAAAAACTGGACACAGTATGAAGAACAAAATAATAGTAGATTATTTTATTAGGATCAAAAGTGACACTTTGTTTGACAAGCGAATTTTGCATTTGCGAGGCGGAGCGTCTAGCGAAGCAGAGTGAAAACAAAATTTGCGAGTCAAACAAAGTCCCTTTGGATCCGAATGAAACATGCTATTTTATCTGCTACTGAAATAATTAACTGAAATAAATATGTGAAGTAACCACCAATGTGACTAACTTGACAGATTATCATAATACTTTTATTATGGAGCAAGATCTCAGACTACTTTCCATTAGAATATTGGTGGACGATGACTACGTTGTTACAATTTGTTTTGACATGCATCATCAAATATACTACAGGCACGAATTCAATACTGTACCCGAATCGTGGATGCCTTGCCTATGCCATCATATCATATGCAATGCAACAAATAATCTGTGTGGTGAGAATATGGGAAAAAGAAGTGGAAAATGTTAGGTTAGTGAGCATAACAATGATAATAATAGCGATTATTTATTTCTCTCCATATTCCACTGTGTTTGGCTCGCTAATCTAATGAAGTTGAACAATATCGTTGTGTGAGACAAAAAAGTAGTGCTGGCCGTGATTATTCAAAAACAAGTTTTCAAATCAATCAGATCCCAAGAATGAATGATATGCCAAATCTGCCGAAATCGGGAACAAATCAGGTATGCTTCCCACACCAATTAACCAACCATAACAATGTTGTTTATTCTTGATGATCTAGTACATCCTTTTTAGTTCCTTGGAGCTAAAGTTGAACTTTAGCTCCTAGGAAGCAAAAGTGTTGCCTAGCAACATACCAATATTTGTGTCAGTAATAAAAACGTCAATTCAAGTTTCAAGAGCTAATTTTGGTATTAAAATGGACGACTTTTCTGTCGGTTGCAGAAAAACAGTAATTTTGTTCTACATACCTAGGTAGGTATGAGCACTTAAGTGTTGTCTGCATAATCATCGAATAACACATTTTCAGGCATATAACTCAGTCATCATTTTTTATCTAATATTCAAGACTCATAAGTTCTATCCCGTCTAGCCCAAAACACTAGAATTTATGTTAAACCAATGAAATTTCTCATGCTGGCTTATTTCAAACACCACAATCTCTCTTCCAGCTTATTACGGAAATATTTCATGTCACACATTTATTTTCTGAAAGCATACTTCGCCTACAGGTGCGTAGGAATAAAAAATAAAAAAAGACCTGTTTAATTATTTCCAAGTTGTCCTATAAATACGATATCCATGATTCGGAGTCGAGGACCATTACTGTAAATCAGCTTTTATCTGGAAGACCTCGAAGAAGATTTTTTATTCGTATTGGAGATGATTTCTCTAGTGCTACCATAGGCGTAGGGCGTATAGGTACACCATTCGAAATTAGGGAGGACTAAGAAACTGAAAAATCTATACCCTATACTCACTTGGAAACTGAAAAACCTATACTCACTTGGAAATTATATGAATTCGAACTTGAGACAAGTCAAAATGTTGAGCCAACGTTCTGAGATGTTACCTTTGATTCTCTCATAATCAATTTTGATGATATTATATTGGTGTTCTCTTCTCGTCTGAAATTCTATGCTCCAATTTGAATTATCATACTAATTACTTATTTCGAATTGTAATACCTCCTTCAGTATCCATTCCAATTCAAACTGTTATAATTGAAAAAAGTTTCCTGAATTGAATTTTGAATTACTTGATGTTAAGTTTTCATTATGTGAATGTGTTTCGAAGTTTCCACATGATCAATGGCTGTGACGGCGCAATATCGAAACTTTTATCTCTGTCACACTCATTGATCATATGGAAACTTCGATTGCAACTATCTTCGTATAATCAATTGAAATAACCCAATCGAAAATGGTTTCGTTGAATTCCTTATGTTAATCTCTAACCAATAATGAAATAAAATATAGGGTGTTCCATGTGAAAATCAAAAGTTGATGTCATTTTCAGGAGAACCGGAAGACGAAAAAAAATCCTAAAATGTGAGAAAGTGCCCTATAGTGAGCATATTCGATAATCCAAATTTCAGAAATATAGCTAGAAATACTAAGGAAAAAAGGGGGGTATACCATAAATAAGAAGAGCAAGTTGCTGTAAATGCATCCAACACAGGGGGAAAAAGAAAGCGAACTTTCGAACTTTTCCTTGAAATATCTCGATGAATAGTGGTTTGTTCACATTTTCATTATCAAATTCGTGTTTTTCAGACAAAAATACGTGAGTACCAAAAAAAAAATTTTTCGAAAAAAAACCCATCGCATGATAAGTGCAGTTTTGCCGAAAATAGTTCCACAAATGTTTCTCTAAAGGTATGTATCCACCCAAAGCAACACAGTTCAACTTACTGCAACAACAACATGTTTATTCACACTATATGTTGCATCATGTTGTCATTTGTTGTACTATGTTGCATATTGTTTATGTCGTGGTACAACAAGATGTTGACGTTTGTTGTGTTTTTGGGTTTGGAGCGGTAAAGATCAAAGGAAAATGTGAAACACACGCAGACATTCAGCAACTAAACACAAGTTGCAGTTGGCGTATACGGTTTGTCGCAAGAAATTGCAACAGAAACTGGAGTTGATTTCCGAATCAGGGGGTCTATTTCCCTTAGTAAACCTTCCATATCAGAACTAATCTCACGGAAAAAAATTTTTCAAACTGCCATCTGTTCAAAGTTCACCCCAAAGAAGATCGTTTTCCTGCAGTTTTTTCTTTATTATCATTATTAAATATAACAAAACTAGCCGTGGCCGCAAAAATCACCTCATTTTCGTCGTACAACATGGCTGACTGTGTTGTGTTGCACTGGTGTATACACGATGATTATTGGGGTTACACGTTTAAAAATATCAAAATCAACATCATGCAACATTGTTGTCTTTGTGGAGACACTTTGTTAGTGGCACTTGATATCTCCAATGCATTCGATCGAGTCTGGCACCACGAACTCCTCGCCAAGCTTCCATCTTATGGCTTGCCTCCCAAGATATGTTCACTGCTAGCTAGTTTTCTCCCAAACAGGTCTCTCCATGAAGTGGTCAACGGAGTTCCAACTGACTCTCTCATCATAAATGCTGATATTCCGCAAGGATCAATTCTAGCACCAACACTTTCTCTACTCCATACCATATCAACGATTAGTTGGAAGCAACTTCATGTCCAGTACACAGCTTCGCGGATGATAGCACCCTCCATACCGCCTTCTCTTCCAGGGCTCCAATACCAGCCAGGTAAATCAGGAACGAACGAGGTAGAAATGTTGACAACATAAATATGGACTTGGCAACAATTCTCGAATGGGGATCCAATAGCTTGGTAGATTTCAATGCAAACAAAACACAAGCATGACTTTTCTCTAGAAAAACCGATCTCACTGTGCCCAACATAAGCCTGTCAGGAGTAACCATACCTTTGAAGACATCCATTTCGATGCTTGGTATTACTATCAGCAATAACCTTTCTTGGGAAAATCACGTGAGATCAATTGCTAAAAGTGCATCCCGAAAACTTGGTTTTCTGTTTCGGGCCAGGAGCTATTCCACTTCCAGTCAGCTGCTTATGATCTATAAGGCACAGATCCGACCAGTCCTGGAATACTGTTCCCATATTTCAGTCTTCACTTCTCGTTTAATCTTCAATTTGAAACATCAAGAATCATGCAAAAATACTTTCGCAAAGGAACATATTCTAACAGTGTGCAGCATCTATATACTCAAAATTCTCTGCTATATCCATAAAAACATATCTGGACTAATATGTTGGTGCTAACTTGTGTAGGTATTGTACTACTGTATTTTATATAATTGTGTATACCAATTTATGTAAATGCTTCTAATTTCATTTGTTCGACAAATTTTTATGATATCTTCAGTTATAGTTGATTTGTATACATACCATTCACATTTTAATGCAAATATTTTTTGTATGACGAACCGATCATTGTATTATGGCAAAAACGGTAATCTATCTATCTATTATATATTTGGAGTGCAGCAACCAAACATTCCCTGAAACTGTTGGATTCTGTCCAAAAAAGGGCAATTCGTATCGTGGGTGATGCCTCGCTCACAAACTCTCTGGCTCTATTTTATAGATATTTTCATGGACGATGCTCTTCTGAAATATCAACAATTGTTCTTCCCTTGGATGTTCTCGCGAGATTAACCCGTCGAGTTGAGGCCTCGCACCCCTTCGTCCTTCGTGATCACTTTGGAGACCTGCAGAACATCTCTTTCCAAAGACTCGTTCATCCAACGAACAGCGAGGCTCTGGAACACATTGCCAAGGGAGATGTTCCCCGAGGCATATAACCTCCAGAAATTTAAGAATAACAAAAATTCCTACCTTATTTCCCTTGGTTCTCTATGCAGATGATGCTGTCATTCTGGTAGAGGGCAGCATCCTGAAATTATTTCAGACTTGATGCAGAGAGCCCTGAAGATAGTAGAGGGCTGGTGCAGAAAGGCAGACCTCAGGGTCAATCCTAGTAAAACTGCACTTGTGGCCTTCACGAAAAAGAAGAAACTGGACAAACTAAAAGTTCCCAGACTTTTTGACACACAGCTAAGTATGACACAGGAGGTTAAATATCTGGGAGTAACCCTAGATGCTAGGCTAACCTGGAATACTCAACTGCGAAAGACTGTCAGCAAAGGCTAAATAGCACTCACACATGGGGACTGAAACCACGCATGGTACATTGGCTATATACTGCTGTGGTGAGACCAATGATTGTATATGGATCGCTTGTCTGGTGGCCTAAGACTGAACAGAGATCAGCTATAATGGAGCTTTCAAAACTCCAGAGATTAGCTTGTCTCTGCATCACAGGTGCTATGCGCAGCACTCCTACCGCTGCTATGGAAACCATACTCAATATTCCACCTCTTGAAATCTTCTTCAAGGCGGAAGCGAGGATGGGGGCATACAGATTGGAGTGTACTGGCAACTGGTATGCTCGGGGTGACTCCCTGGGACAAACAAAAATAATCAGCCAAGTTTCAAGCCCACTAATGGATATGGGAAGGGACAAAATGCTGCCTAAAAATAACTATTACAGACCCTTCAACACTCAGCTCTACTGGGATGAAAGGGTCTTGACTAACTGTCAGGAAGGCACGTTAGTATGGTACACTGACGGTTCTAAGACTGATGAGGGCACGGGAGCCGGAATATATGGAGACAGACCCAGAACCAGGATGTGTGCCTCCTTGGGGAGGTATGCTTCTGTATTCCAGGCAGAGGTGCATGCTATTGAGGCATGCCTGAGAGAGAATATCATAAGAGGATACAGAGGTAAACAAATCCTCATATGCTCAGATAGTCAGGCGGCCATTCAATCTCTAACATGCAATAAAATCAGATCAAAATTGGTCTGGGATTGCCTTCAAAGCGTGCTAACCCTGGCTAACCACAACAAGGTAACTCTTCAATGGGTGCCAGGGCATAAGGGAATTGAAGGCAATGAAGCAGCCCCAAAACCTCAATACGCGGCTGGCTGGCAAGGTGGATGCAAGAAAGACATCAGGCATACTGGAACAATGTCCCAGGACAAAGACACAGTAAACTGATGGTTGGAACACTGTCCAAAACAGTGACTAACGACATTCTAAGCCTAAACAGAAGTCAGATCAAACAAGTGACGGGACTAATAACCGGTCACTGCCCCTTGAGGAAACATATGCATCAAATGGGCATCTATACAGACGAACCCATATGCAGACTATGCAATGAGGAGGAGGAAACTGCCACCCATGTAATACTGGAGTGCGAAGCACTAGCGCGTTGGAGATACAACCTTCTGGGAGCAGTAAACTCTCAAGAGGCATTTTCAAAGAATGATCTGGTGAAGAGGCTGCTAAACCTCATCAAGGTAGCGAACCTGTTCACCTAAGTCAACAGCATGATCAGGAATACAATAGGCCCAAAGGC